CGAAGAAGAGAAAGTAGGCTAAGTAGTGTGTCCAAGGTATGAGGGAGCATTATCTCCCTATTCGCTCCTCCATCAGGCTCAACCAGCCCAGCGGGGGACACTCATTTACTTTATGGAATATTACTTTCTCTCCTTCTCGCCGTTACCATGGCAGCTGCTATAAAAAGATTTTCTCCTCATCGCTATTATTTGATTTCCTCCCGCACAAGCTGAGGAAGATCCCTTATTGATTTTCATTTCTCATATGTTTGAGTGCAAAGAAAGAAATTAACATACCATGAAGTACTTAATGTAACGCAAAAGGGCCTCGATCAAGATACATTTGTACCACAGGAAAACTATTTTGTATAGCTTAACCCTTGGGATTTGCAATAACACCGTATCTGGTTAACGCTGACTGATGTGCTTCGGGTCATGACTCCTGAAGACCCATCACATGCTGAAAGTTTTTGATCTTTTTTTAATTCCATCAACTCCAAGTCACTCCCCATCCACCTATTGTGTTTGATGCTGAGAAGAATTGTTCAATACCGTTTAAATGGTTTGTCTTGCAGGGTCATCAAGGAGCATCTTGGAGAACAGGAAGTGGCCATTTCACTAACTATTGACTCTTTAGAGGAGGAAGACCTGGGAAATTATTCCTGTTATGTGGAAAATGGCAACGGCCGTCGCCAAGCTACCATCCAGCTTTTCAGGCGGGGTAAGTGCTTATTTACATTTCCTACTCCAAACTTAAAGGGACAGTTCAACCCCACCCCCCAAAATAAAAAAATAAAAATACTGATTTTTCCTCTGGCATGTAGTGTTGTTCATCCATGTACATCATTATGGTATGAGTTTCCTCATTTTCCACATATTGGCTGTAAAGATGTCTGCCTTCTCTTTAGTGTAATTGAAGTAAATAGGACTCGCCTTGTGGTCCAAAGAAAGAACACATTTCAAAGCAATATAGCTTTTCAAAAATGATGACTACAAATGTTGCTATGATCAGGTTATTGTTAAACTAGGTTTTTATTTACTTCAGAATGAAAAGAAGCATGTGTAGCTCAAAGTATCTGCTTTTATGTCTCCGGACAGGGTTCTTTGCCAATTTAGGGGGTTGCTGCAAGGAAAAGAACACACTTCAAATCCTTTATGAACAGCTATAGCTACAAGCAGACAGCAGGAGCAAGAATGCATCAAATAAAGATAATACCAGAATCAGAATTGATGAACAAATGGGTAATGATCAATGGGAGAATGTGGATTTAATTCTCCAGCTCTTGGAAAATGATGAGCCAGATGAAAGTTAATAGAATATCTGAATGATTAAACTAATTTTAATTCACACTAATTCAGATTAATTGAGACTACCAACAATATTAACTCTGAGGCAGTTGAACTTAGGCTTGATTTCCTATTGATTGTAGTTATAGGCTGGGTTCGTTCAGTTCACAAGCGGGACTTTTCAGGTCATCCAACAGCCTAATGATGGAGTAGATTCAGTAGGGTGCAGCTGTGAAATCTTGAGCATGTGATGCAAACAGACCTCAGCAGCTGATGTTGGCCCTCAGTCTTTTAGAGCTGATGTCAACTGGATTCTGAAATAGTACGTTTTATGGCTTTAACATTCATTTTAGAATAAGGAACAGCTTTCCATATGCATTTAGCAAAATAAAAATTACACCTGACTGCAAAAAAACTACTTGGTGAGCTAAATGAAACCGAATATTATAAAAGAGTTGAATATGGTGTGAGTCAGTCTTTTTATCATGCTGGTCTCATTGGGATGTCCTCTAAGGTGTGGCCAAGATTATTTGCGCCACTATGAATTCTGGGGCCACAATTGTTGTTTAAATAATGAATTTTGTTCAACTTTTATTTGGACAGATCCAACCACGAAGAACAATCTTCCTTCCAGCCACATAAATAAAGGCAATAGAGTTTGTTCAGAAATATGGACGTGTTCAGATGTATATAAAAAATGAAATAAAAATCAGTGACCAGTTATAGATGATCATCGAATCAGAATCAGAATCAGAATCAGAATGGGGTTTATTGCCAGATGTTGAGGTTTACAACATTAGGAAATTGCTGCGGTGCTTCAGTGCAAACAATAAGAATTAAAGTGCTATGTAGAAAGAAAGATATGTGCATGAGATATACATGAGATATATACATGAGAATAAGACTTATGAGTGCTACGTAGAAAGATATATACATGAGTGCAGGTGGTGATCGGTGCCAAACATGAAATGATGCAGTGACACAGCGTAGGGTCATGTGTTAGTGGCGGGGACAGTCATGTGGTTATTGTTCATGTGTCCAACAGCAGAGGGGAAGAAACTGTTCTTATGGCGAGAGGTTCTGGTGCGAATGGACCGGAGCCTCCTGCCTGAGGGGAGCAGGTCAAACAGACTGTGTCCAGGGTGAGAAGGGTCAGCTGAGATCCGAGCTGCACGCCGCAGTGTCCTGGAGGTGTACAGGTCCTGCAGAGATGGGAGTCTGCAGCCAATCACCTTCTCAGCAGAGCGCACAACACGCTGCAGTCTCTGTTTGTCCCTGATAGTGGCTCCAGCGTACCACACGGTGATGGAGGAGGTGAGGATGGACTCGATGATTGCAGTGTAGAATTGCATCATCGTCCGTGTTGGCAGGTTGAATTTCTTCAGCTGCCTCAGGAAGTACATCCTCTGCTGGGCTTTCTTGATGACGGAGGTGATGGTGGGCTCCCACTTCAGGTCCTGGGTGATGGTGGTACCCAGGAAGCAGAATGAGTCCACAGAGGTGATGGGGGTGTCAGTCAGGATGATGGGGGGGAGTGGGGCTGTGTGCTTCCTGAAGTCCACAATAATCTCCACTGTCTTCTGGGCATTCAGCACCAGGTTGTTGTGGCTGCACCAGGACACCAGACGTTCAACCTCCCTCCTGTAGGCAGACTCATCCCCGTCCGAGATGAGCCCAATAACGGTGGTGTCATCTGCAAACTTGATTAGCTTGACAGACTGGTGGGTGGAGGTGCAGCAGTTGGTGTACAGGGAGAAGAGCAGAGGAGAAAGAACACAGCCCTGAGGGGAGCCGGTGCTGATGGTCCGGGAGTCCGAGACATTCTTTCCCAGCCTCACATGCTGCTTCCTGTCCGTCAGGAAGTCAGTGATCCACCGGCAGATGGGATCAGGCACATTCATCTGGGAAAGCTTGCCTCGGAGATGGTCTGGAAGGATGGTGTTGAAGGCAGAGCTGAAGTCCACAAACAGGATCCTGGCGTAGGTTCCTGGGGAGTCCAGATGCTGCAGGATGAAGTGTAGGGCCATGTTGATGGCGTCGTCTACAGACCTGTTGGCTCTATATGCGAACAGGAGGGGGGCCGTGAGGGTCTTGAGATGGGAGAGAACTAGGCGCTCAAATGACTTCATGACCACAGATGTCAGAGCCACGGGTCTGTAGTCATTTAGTCCAGTGATCCTAGGTTTCTTGGGGATATGCTGCTATTCAGTGCTTCCCAGATCCTAATGTATTTGGCTACATTAGCTAATGGACAGTAACAATTATGTGCAAATGACTGTGGCTGAATGCTGAATGCTTAACAAAGCCATTCACTCCAGAAGCCTCTACTCTCGTTGCTTTGGTTGGCAGTGTGGAGACAGCTTGCAGAGACCAGTTGAGCAAATGACAACAAGACCCGATGTCTGGCACAAAAGTTCTAAATTATGATCTCATTTTTCACATCTGCACCTTTTTGCAGCTCTGTAATTTTCTACTTTCCTGTACTTTTGCCACAGAGCGCAGGAGGTCCTGCCTGCTAGCTTTATGAGCTGTTAGAAACCTAGAGGCCATCTTGTAAATGACCAATTAAATAAGAGGAGATCATGAGGGACTGCATACCTGCCCTGAAGGAACAATAAAAGCTAAGGAGAGGGGAGGGATATGGAGCTATACATCAGGCTTTGCTGAGGATAATTGCAACAGGAGGATTTCGGGAGGGATGCGAAAGTCCAGATCACAGTTCTATGTTTTTAATATACAAGGTCTCCTGTGAAGAATGGGATTGTCAGTGATATGTGTAGAGAGGACAGTGTGCATAAATGAGATGACAGCAAAGATGTTACTTTTGCTTTGCCTTATATTTATAACACGGGAATGGTAATGTTATATAATTTGGTGTCCAGCACAGGGCAAGGCAGTCAGTGGTTGTTCTGCACATATTGCTTGGTATGCATGTAGATACATGTGGCATACAGAACAGGCAGCACAGACAAAAAGAAAAGCAGAGTAGTGTTGATTCAAAGGAACATGGAGCGATGGCCCCTGCACATCTGCACATAAGGAGCGCCCAGGAGACTGCAATTCATCGTCTTCTTCCTCTATGACACACACCCAGCTGTATGCAGTAACAGCAACCTTACTAAATCTAAGTGGAGTCGCAGGGTTGCCTTGTCCGCACAATCCATTCAGTCCATTGATCAAAGGATGATGTGACGAGAGTGGAAGGTGTGTGGGGGCTTGGTCACCCTCCTCATAAATACTGGGCACACTATGAAAGAGTCGACTGGACACCAGAAGAAGGGGGCATCCCTGTATTCATTACAAGATGATACTGCATTCACCAGGAGAAGCACAACAAACAATTCTTCCTTCAATAATCTTTTTGTTAACTTGGATCTTATTGTCATAGGTCACCATTTTTAGTCATGACAAAAACACTAACCAAATGATCAGACAGACTAGTTACTAAATTAGTAGCACTTTGCTTTCATACACAATCATTTAACAAATATCTTATAGTCCCAAGCAGCCATTGCTAAATGTTAATGTGGATTAACGTGGGTTATAAACCACTATTAAATGTTTGTGAACTGCTCTAAAAGGTAAATAACGAGACATCAAACCTTAATGAAGACACATGTAATTAAAATGTTATGTTTTGCATTTTATGGAATAGCTAAAATAACAGAAAATTAGTCAACAGTCATCAGCTGCAGGATCGGGTGTTGGCTCTTTGCTGCAGTTTTTTAACATTAAAGGTCCATTTTAAAGCTATCAGTGATGTGCTTAATGTAACACACAAGAACAGCAAACATGAAGTACAGGCTGCCACTGCTGGTCTTCTGATGTTTGGCACAATGTTATCATGACCAATTCTGTAGGAAAATGGGTATACACCTATCTACACACACACACACACGAGAATAAGATCCAAGTTGTTTTAAATCAGAATAACCATTTGTTACTACTTATGCATATAAAACCAACAATGACATCACTTGCATAAGAATTGAGATGCAACATATTGCATATTGTACATCACTGTCATGCATTGCATTTGGAATAGGGAAAAAAGTCCCATGTTCATACACTGGTTGCATTTCTCTTTATGGACTCCGGAGTCCGAGTAGTTTGGTTCTGAACTGACTGCACAGTGTAAACAGTCTCTCTTCCTGCTCTCTCTCCTTTTACTGTGTGCATGCTGTGTTCCAGAAACAGGCAAACACATTTTGGCAACATACAAGTTGATTTATTGCAATGCTGCCAACCCAAACAGCAGAAGTAAACACTGTGATCCACTCAGCTGCATCAGTGTAGGGGATGTATATTGTTCATCTCCTTGAATGATAGAAAACATCTGCCACATCCAGCCAAGCAAACGCTGTGTATCAATACTCCACTGAAGCTTGGGAAAGAGCTCATAGAAATGCCGTACTCCAAATATTCCTGGGCTCGGTTATTCTCTGCCCTGCACAGAAATCAAATCGAGATATAATTATTCCATTCTGGGTTTGCAGCCATCACTGGAAAGGCCCAGATCCAAAACTTGTATCCCCCTGAGAGCACTGGTGCTCCAACTGGTCCAGCAGTTTTTCCACCGAGTCTTCTTTGTTCTCCAGTTTCAGGTATCGTCTGCCATTGCCCAGATCTAGCCGAGGCCAGCTTTGGTGAGTCTGCTCTGCAGAATCGGCAACCTGTCCAAGAACGTTTACACAAACCTGTGAGCTCGCCTCCATACGAGTGACTTCAAGCTGATTTGCCTGAATGTGCTCTCTCTCCATACACCTACCAGTTCGCTTTGTGTAAGGGTTAGTCCTGTAGCTCATACTGTGGCAGCGCCTTGGTTGAGCAGCTGGGACATCAACTTCATCCACCCCTAAGGTGGACATGGAGCCTGCAGATACCAGGCACACATTGGTCTTAACAAGTGGGCCAGTGTGTGAACTGCAGCTGGCTCTCTCTTCACATTTAGCACCCAGCTGTGCATTAAAGTCAGTCTGACTGGAATTGCATGAGCTGGAGAGGGAAGCTTTGGCGGAACACGGAGGCTTTGACTCCTGGTGGTGGAGGCCTTCCATCGGAAGAACAGCTTGCTGGTAGAAACCCTCCATGCTGTGCCCCTGGTCTACGGTGCTTCTGCTCTGGAGCAGGGGCTCAGAGGTGGCCAGCTGCTGCAGACAGAGAATGTTGAGATGGGCAGCTGGTAGACTGCTAACCCACTGGTAGTGTTTGGCCATCGAATTGGCTGCTGCTATTTCTTTAAGGTCAGCTGAAGGCACAGCCGCAGACACGGAGCAGATAACACTGCGCATCTGGGCCAGCAGCATCTGAGTCTCTCTGTCCCTGTTTTCATACAGGACAGTGTTGGCACATATGAGGATGAAGAGACCCACCCCCATGATGACTGGTCCCAACAGCTTCATCCTCTCACTGTGAATGAGACTGGCTGTGGACAGGAAGCCCTTGGGTCCCAGACTCCAGCCGGAAGTCTGTGATTCAGAGGCGCTTTCCCCATCTGCAGCTCCCAGGATGGACGACCTTGATATCTGATAGGGCCAGTATCCTGCCACAGCCAGAGCAGTGCCAACAACCACCACAACCACGCCAAGCACTAGGAACGCTCCAGGCATGGAGCGGATGCGAAGCTTGCCTCGGATCAACCTCTCCTTCTTCTTTCTACTTCGTAAGGTGAAGCGAGACTTTGGTTGGCAGGCAGGTGAGCTTGGCCTAACTGCTTGAGACTTCTTGGTCTTCATGGCACAGATTAGTCCAGAGCTCTTGGTCTGAGTCACAACCCGTCAGAGTGCTTTAGGAAGGAGGAAATGTAAAGAGTTAATGTCTCTGTTCATTCAAACACATGCAATGCCTGCAACTATGTTCACAGTACAGAGATGTCTGAACTTTTTCATGGTGGCTGAGGTGACAGTGAACATATTCATTGTGGCTGTCTGAGTGAAGCTCGGTCTGGATCTCCCTGGTGATACTGTTAAACTGCAGCAGACAGTGATACACACCACTAACCCACCTTTTTCACGCTCTCAGTCCTCGGGCTACAAAGGCTAATGCCAAAATTAATGCTAATCTAAACCTTCATGTTATCACTGCACAAGAAAACCAGAGATGGCAGCCTGAGGACAGACACGGGGGCAAATGTTTGAAATGAATAATATTTGAAGAGGCCTTCAAAAATATTTTGTAATGGGAGTATTTTTCAGTTTTAGTATTTACTTATTCATATGTTTAGACCTGCCAGAGCTCACTGTAGTTACTGGCCACCTGACAGTGGGTTTTTCCCCAGAGTTAATCACCAAAACCTTCAAACGTCCACATCTGTGGAGAGCTTGTAAATTAAATGAGGTACAAACAAAAGTACAGAAGCACTCACATATTTGCTGTTCTTCCTAAGTTCCTGTACAGTAATGAACAAAGAAAAGTGAAATGGAAAAGCCAGTCGCAGTGACTGCAGCATGCACCAAAGAGCGTAAAATGTTCCCTTTGTCCTTCTGTGAATGCTTAAGAAGAGTGCCAAATACACAAAGTAATAATGCACTCAGCTCTAAATCTTAAAGACATATGAGGGTGCCTGCTCTTAATCAAGTATAAGAGTGGGTACCTTAACCCATCATTAAGTACGTTATTGCTACAGTTCTGAAACCACTGCACGTCTCGTGTTTGTACTGCAAATTCTTTTTACTTAAGCACTGACCTGCCTATTGTCTGTTGATACGTTTCCTTGGGTTTTTCAACTTTCTTGACCTCTTAAACACGTTAAATATGTTTTATTGTGAATAAAATATGGGTTCATCAGACAACATCCAGCTTTTTGTGGAAAGACTTGTATATAAAACATAAAATAGAGCGAACCAGCTTGTTGTTTACGTTTTACAGAAACATTAATGTCCGACATCAGTCTCAGTGTTCTCATTGAACTTGTTTTATCAGGCAGCTGATTTTATCATAAAAGCTCAGATGAGGCATCTACGATAGACTGACTACCGCCTGCTGGGAAAATGTGAGGAAAGGGTGGATATCAGCAGGACCCAAAACCTTTCTGTTCATGAAGAAGAGCCTGTGTGTAGTAATAAAGAGTACATGCATTAAACACACATTTCTGTGCCCAATGATACTGTCATGTTCAAGTGAACTTCCCAGTGATATTAAATTCTTTAACAACTGTATTATATATTAGATATTATATCAACAATCCCTACAATAGCGTCCTACATGAAAAAGCAATGAATTCATTCATGCAAACAATCAGGAAAGTATTTTATCAGTACAGGCGCCTTAATGTGAGATGTAAGCAGGCTGTCAGTGTTAAAGAATCTGACTATGGAAAAAAGTCATGTCACCATTTCATCCGAGGCCACAGACACAGGAAGTCGTGAAGAAGTTGACATTCAGAAGGCAACACAAAAACATCCAGTGCCACAAGTTAGTGGCTGACGTCAGGCCGGGCCTTTGATTTCACACAGGGTAAATATTACACACGTCACTGGTAGATTTCTGTTTATAAGATCAAACATTAAAAGTTTGAACAGATCATTTTCTCTTAATGATCAACTGATGACATCACAGCTATCCCCTGGTCATGTGATAACCAAATGTCGTTAAATCTCCATGTATTAAATAAATGTGCTGACCAGTACACACACACACACACACACACATCTGTATTCCCCTCTGCCGTGGGATTAACGCTGCAGTAACAAAAATGAGAGAAGCAGCAGACTGCATTCAGCAGCTGTGGCACAAGTTTGTGTCGGTAAGGGTGTGATATGCTGCATGGTTGCACATGACGGTAAATGCACGCCTGATCCGGATGATGCGCTGAACTCCGATTACCCTGTGGTCATGTAATTACGCAGGAATGACACAGACAGGAGCGCAGCGTCTGCTGGAAAGGACTTTCTCTACAGTGTGGCTCTGGAAGTCCGCACTCAGTGTGTCATTGACCCAGTCATACGGTGCATCTGCAGTTTACAGCCGGCAGAGGAAGCTGGTCTGGATCAATTCAATTCCCGAGAAGCCACAAGTTGTGATACATGACGAAAATGAACAAATGCGAAAGCGTTCGCTGGTGCACACGGGTGGAACCGTGTCAGTCAAATGCAGCAGCTTGTTGAGCCCGTGGAGCCCAGACGGAGGGAAATGAAGCAGCTGCAAGAATGCTGGTGAAAATCAGCACAGCATTATCAACTGACTGGGATAAGGCGTCCCTCAACTACGGATAGCCATGCACTGTCGTGCCGTGCCGTGCCGGACTATCTGCACTGACACTATACAGACATGGAATGTGTCTGATGACCGAGCTGCTGCATTCCTCTCCGACAACACAGCAGCTCACGGCACCGTTACCGACCCACAGAATGAAAGAGTTCATGTCACCCAGCTACTCCGACTGCACCACCACAGACACACAATCTCACACTCACACACTCCGACACTTCTGTGAACTTGCCTGGATTTCGGAGTTCCTGTTGCAGCTCGGTGGTAGTTTGAAGACACCCAACGTCCGCATGACTCCGAATAAGGTTAAGGGCTGAATCGAGCCCAGCCCTAAACCCGTTCCCACATATCCGCAGCAGGGACACCGCGCTGACTCCGTCAACTCCGCCGGACACAAGCCGAGCAGAGCCCAGCCCAGCCGCCTCCATGCACCAGCACCGCCGAGTGAGCAGGAAGCAGCCCTGCTGCGCGCGCGCGCACGCATGCACGCGGATTTGAAAATAAAGGTGCGCACGGGTGCTTCGTGTGACAGCAGCAGCGTCCCTCAACAAGTAGCGGAGGTGTGAGTCACAGGGAGCCGTTCGGGTGCACCTATAACGCTGCACTAACACTCTCCTCTCTGTGCTGTCCTGGACTCGTGGGCGCGCTCACAGAGGTGCTGGATACTTCAAAGGTTACCATCCAAAAATGAGATGTTACAGATTAAACACCTCAGCACCGAGTTAAGAGCTTCACCAGGTGATGGATTAGATTTTTGGATCAAATGATCTACAGATGAAAGCATAGTCCTGGGACTCTGTAACGCTTTGATAAACCTTTGTAGTCCGAGTCCACATTA